ATGTTACGATTTTTTTCACTTTAAAAAGCGCAAGCTATTTTAATTATTGTGATCAATTTGCGCCGTCAATCCCGGCGCACGCGCGCTTCATTTGCAGTCTGGACCCTGAAGGTAAACTCCTCACTAAAATCCTGCGGCTCTGAATGCAGCGCTGAGAGGGATTCCTGTGGGAGAGGGAGAAAGGGGTTGGGATGGGGGAGGCGCCCCACGGCAGGCAAAAGCCGCCAGTGACACCGTGAAAAGTCGCCAGATTTGTCCCTAGTCGCTTTTTTGAAAAACAGTCGCTGGAGGGGTCTGAAAAGTCGCTGAGTTGGCAACACTGCAACTGCGGCGCTACTCGCTCCGCCATATTTTTTTTTCTTCCCCCAGATGACGGTGGTGGCGGATGACGCATTAATCGCGCAACACAACTAATCGATGATTAAATTCGTTGCCAACGCTTTTAAAAGTCGATTTTTATCGATTTTATCGATTCGTTGTTGCAGCCCTAGTGTGCATGGTGACAAAAAAGGGGCTGCAGAGGACAACGCGAACCAACTTGAACCGTGCCATCAGACCAGTGTAACCGAACCACAGCCAGAAGATCCAGGATCTCTTCCATGATGCCAGCAACACCAACGAGGATGTGGCAAGGCACATGGGTGATCACAGACTACAACACACCCTCCCCCAGTGGGAGTAGCTGATGCTGACTTCCTAAATTGATTTAATGACTTGTTTGGAAGGCTTGAGGCACTAAACAACATTCCAGCTGTGAAACCTGTTGTTCACCAGGTAGAGGAGGCACTCTGCCTTGACACAGCTGCGGTGTGGAAAACTCTGAAGCGTCAACTCGAGTAAGGCACCAGGCCCCGGGTGTTCACCGACTGTGCAGGTCATCTGGCTGGTGTCCACACAGACATTTTTAACACCTTGACCAAGCCATGGTGCCAGCATGCTTTAAAGGTGCAGTAGGAGATCTTTTCTGATGCAGATTTTACCATGTGGCTTAAAGATCTCCCCACAGCTGCTTAGCAAGCAGTGAAATAGAAGGTCTGGAAGTAACCCCAACCAATCACAAAAGACGGTCCATTGTACACAACTGGTTCCTGACACGTCAATCATCTGCTTGTCCCTCCCCCGTGTCGTACCCTGACACATGAACGAATCAAGCCCCCAATTCTCATGCAGGATGTCATGGCTGGAAGCTAGCCAGTGTTATGCTACGTTCACACCTAAAGCAGCAAGAGCAGCAAAAACTTGCATGCTGCTTCATTTTTTTATGCTTGTACAAGTTTAGTTCTGATGAGTGGCTGAAGCATATTTGATCAGATTTGGGTTTCTAAAAAGTAACGTAATCCAAACTGCAGGCACCAGGATGATAAAAGTGAACATGTTTGCCCGGCAGATTTCAGCATTTTAAGTTATTTTTGGGTTAAAATGCCGAAATCTGCCGGGCAAACATGTTCACTTTTATTATCCTCTTCGCTCTATTAAAGACATTTCATCCCAGCGCTGCGTGTCCCGAGCCCATATCATCATCAGCATCCCCTCACATCCCCACCATGGGCTGTTCTCCCTGGTACCCACTGAGAAGATTCTTCGCAAAATCTTCTCAGTGATTACAATTTTATATCTTTATGTTTTAAGCCTGACATGTGGCAAAAGGTCAAGATGTTCAAAGGGGCCAAATACCGCAGGAAACTATGTACCTCAATAACTTTACTGAAAACCTTTTAAACGTTTAGACAAATGGGTACTTCTGATCATAGTAACAGCTTTGAGATAGCTGCACTCTGCCTAGTGGAGAAAATAATGTAAGTGTACAGATCTTAGAAATAACTGAGATTCATATATTGCAACATTTGCCCTCGCTTAAGTGAAGTACTTTAATTTATTAGAAAAATGCTCTATACAAACTTAGACTTTTTTTCCCCTTGCCTAAATTTACTATATAGAAAATAGAGCAAATCTTTGTACAACTAACCACAAAACTCCAACATCAAAGGCTTCTTTCTCTAAGTCATCCAAATGATGCCTGAAGATGAGAGAAGCCTGGTTGTAAAATAACAGCTGTATCTCCAGTCATTAAAATATGACTAGATACTGACCAAACCACCAGCTAAAAATATTTAGCATTGGAAATGTAAATAGTAACACATGTAATATATTTGACAGTTGGTCAAAGCAGGTGCATTTGCGAGTTTTCTACAGCTAATGTAACCATTCAATGTGTGTTAATGTCCATTTCACACAGGTGTGCTGGAAGGGTAGTGCAATGAAGTCAGTCAGGGCCAAAACATGGCAGACATGTTAGTGTCGGTGCTGTAAATCCACAGCAATACTGGCAGGGAGATGGCCAAGAAGGGCCAGGAAATTCCTTTAGTGCATGCAGACAGGGAACAGCTTCTGCTGGTTGGATTCTCCAGCTGTTTACCCAGTTCCAAGTAGTTCCTGGCAGCAAACTTCAGCAGCTCATCTAGCAGGATGACGGGAAGGGAGATCTTCAGCACCATCATCCACTGGGTGGTATCAAGAGGGGTGATCTGGAAGATGACCTGGGACAGTATGTAGATAATGGTTTGCAATAAATAACATTGTGTTTTTGACCCCAGCCGTGGTCCTGAGAGGACAGCGTGGTTACCATTAAGGGTTTAATGGGACACAAAATTCATGTTGTAGAAGGTATCCTGGGTTTTAAGTCATGATACGGGAGGTTTTCAATACGCTTCAAGGGAAGGAAGGGATTTTATCTGTATTGTAGATATTGGGAGTATTATAACCAAATGGTTACTTATATAACAAAACTAAATTTCCATGTGGCTATAATGCTCCCAATCTCTACAATACAGATAGAATCATATTATAGTAATTATCTAATATATAATCAGATACCTTTATTAGTTTACTGCGGGGGCGCAAGGGGTGATGGTGCCTATCTCCAGCTGTCTATCATTTTTTAATTGGGGCTAATGAACTTATTTTGTGAAGGATGAACAAATGATGGCATATTCCTGCAAAATGATTAGATGAAAAATATTCAGCAGCAAAGATCCTTTTTAGAAGATGCATGGAAAAAATAACAGTGAAACCATTTGAAAAAGAATGTTTTTCAGCAGATTTTCTAATAAAAAAGTATATACTCACACATAAAGACAATTTAGAGAAGCCAATTAACCTAACAGTACTCTCTTTGGACAGTGGTTGGAAGCCAGTGTACCCGGAGAGATCACATGCATCCACGAAGAGAACATGCTAACCACTGCCCCCACAGTCAAAAAAAAAACATGCCTTAAGTTCTGTTCAGCTTTATTAAAATCTGTCACTTTGAGTTAATCACAAAGAGAAAAATAACTCACAGGTAGAGGCTCTACATAGAGGATGAGGAAGTGAAGAGACATGGAAAGGCAGATGGCCCCCAGCAGCCAAATGTTCTCCCAGGGAGGCATACGCAGCAGGGATTGGTTCTCTGACAAACTAAAGCAAAGACAGAATTCAAATGTATTTGTGACACGGCATGCACCTTTCCTTTTTGTAAAGAGAAAAGTGCCAACCTGTTCAGAGCATTGCACATCTCTATTGTGACAAGCACAGACAGGGCCATGGTCATTGGATATGGTGACTCAAACACATGGCAGTCCAAACCTTCAAATTCAGGGTTGTCTGGGTCGCATTGCAAAAAGTGGCACTGTTAAGAAAGGTTCAAATGGAATGAGACTGAGAATGTGATCTTATGAAGCTGAAAATGTTTTAACATTTACCAGCTGATAAATAGTGAGCTGTGGGCCACCCTCAGAGACTGTAAACCACCATGCAGCGGCTCCCACAGTGGCAGCTCCTACATAACCTGGGAACAGAGACAACAAAACTTTCTGTTACACCCGCGGTTCTCAAAGTGTGTGGCGCGACCCACTAGTGGGGAATTG